ATATATTTGAAATCAACACTTAGATAACATTAAAGACTTCTTTAAAATAAGAAATGAAATAAAGTCAATTTCATAGATTTTAAAAATATTTTAGAAATATGCCACACTGAAATCTCATGATGAAAAAATTAGCAATATGTACTTTTATATATATTATCACATTTTAGCCATATTATTTTATTGAATATTTTATTTTTATTTATTTTTATTTTTTTAAGATTTTATTTATTTATTTGACAGAGAGAGAGACACAGCGAGAGAGGGAACACAAGCAGGGGGAGTGAGAGAGGGAGAAGCAGATTCCCGCTGAGAGGGAGCCTGATGCAGGGCTGACCTGAGCCAAAGGCAGATGCTTAACAACTGAGCCACCCAGGCGCCCCTTTTATTGAATATTTTATAATGAAGGAGTATCAAAAAATTGCATTGCATTTTGGCTCTACCACTTAACAGCTTTGTGTCCATGAAGAATTTACTCTGCCTCTTTAGACTAGTTTCTTATTTGGTGGTAGTAATAATTATCCATATGATTAGTAATAATTATTGGCTTACCTTTTTTTCAAGAAATAAATTGCTTAATTCATAAGATTTTAAGGTAAAATATGAATCAAAAAGCAGAATTTGCTAGATGTTTTGTGGTATCAGGATTTACACTCTATAGTACATAGACCAATAAGGTAGTAATAAATAATAAATTTCTACTAACAAAATCAATATCCAAAAATGAAAACATAAGTATATATACAAAAGCAATTCACTTATTTACAACCTTTATCTGCAATCTGATTTTTTTTAAAAAGTTTTGTGTACCTGCTACTGGTTAGTAAAATATGAAAATCACAAAGGATTTCTAAATCTTTAAAAGTCATTTTTTATTATCTAATGAAATGACTGGATAAAGTGAAATATAGATGGCTGTTTTTTTAATATCACAAGAAACTAAGAGTTACAGATGATGAAATTATGTTCTAAAAAAATTCTTTACTATGGTAGTAGTAGACTTCAAAGAAAACATGAGAAAAGGATTTATAGAAAATCTGTACTTTAACATTTAAAAAGAATTTGATTTTGACAATATTTTTAAAGTACTTAACCAATTTCAAGATGTTTTCTGGCCTACAAAAGCTATTGTTTGTAGAAATGAGAAGGAAAAATGTGTTTTCATAGATACAATTCCAACACAAATTAGAAAAAAGTGTATGTTAATGAAGTAAAGACTAAATTGGAAGCATGATATGCCTTGAAATTTTAAAAAATCAGTTAGGTTGTATGTGCAATCAGGCAGCACAAATCTTTTACTTTTCTCTTGAGCTAGAAGTTTCAACTGCATACCAAAAAATAATGCATGGAAGTGATGCACATCATTGCTTTTAATTGAGTGCTTCACATGCGCTCTTTGAAAACCTAGCTAAAAGGTTTTTATAATGAGCAAAATGCAGAAAAAAATTAATATATCTAAACTTCATCATGTTCTGATCTTCCCCAGGAAGTATGATAGACCCCAAATGATTTCTATAATTGAAAAATATTACTAACCTTATAAAATATGTTCATAATATCTCATCAAAAATAACATCTTGTTAGGTAGGGCCATAGTTGCTATTTTAGAGATGATCAAAGAAATAAAACACTGATTGTTTATAGGCTTAGTGAATGAATTTCCCATTTTTGAAGATTTTTTTTAACAATGATATTCTTTAAGATGACAAATTTCAGCATTATTAGGAAATTGAGAACATAATTATTTGACAACACTATATAATATTTTAAAATTTTTTATTGGTTGTGCTGTATTCCCCTGATGCTTATAGTAGTCCCTGGAAAGAAATTATACATAAGAAAGTACATGCATCATTTTAAATCTTCACAGATTATGTGAATGTATGCACTATTCACCCACATCCCACAGAATTCTTTCCAAGCTCACAAGGTGATATATTTCTTTTTCTCCATTTATTCCTCCTTCTTTTTTTCCTTTCCTTCTTCCTTCCTCCTATCTTCCCTTCCTTCTTTTCTTCCTCCCTTCCCTTCCCTTCCCTTCCTTTTCTTTCCCTCCCCTTCCTTCTTTTCTTTCATTTATGCACTGGTTAACTCACTCATTCAAAAAGCCTGAAATGCCTTTTCTTGAGTGCCTAATATGGCATATCATTGAGTACCTAATATAGGACAGACACTGTGCATGTTACACAGAGGAAACAAAAATCACAATGCGTCTTCTATCCTTAAAAACTTTATAGTCTAAAAAGTAGAAGACAGGTAATAATGACTTCAGTAGTGTTGTAAGGAGGTAAACATAGAATGCAATCAGTGTTTTAAGCCTTGCCTATTTCTGGATTCTTTTACGTTGCCTATGCAGCAGTGTAAGTCATGCCTATATTAAGTCAGGGGCATATTTCCTACACTGCATGAAAGAGAACAAAATAAAGACATTTTCATGGAAACAAAATATTGAAAATACCAAATCTAACTCACTAATAAAGCTTGTAAAAGATACACTTTAGTAACAAGAAAAAATAATGCTTAGGAATGTCTGATAAACAAAAAGAGTTGTGTGCAAAATGTTACACTGGGAAAAAATATAATCCAACATTTATTGTGTAAACTAATAAAAAATTATCTTAATACAGGGATTATTAAATAAGATAGGTATAACATGATGGAAAATAAACTACATATCAAGAAAAAATCATAAGGTCCTCAAACTGTTCAAGAAGTTAAAGATGTTGATTATGCTTCATAATCATAAATATGCATTCCAAAACTTCTAATAATTTATAGCTTAAAAATGTAAAAATAAAATATATTATAAGCAAAAACTTAATTCTAAAGATTCTAAGTTTAGTTTCATCTAAAACATGGCTACAAATTATAGAAGCAGAAAATAACAGAAAAATGGAAAAAATAAGAAAGAAATCCACTATCACATTGAAATATTTTAATACAGTTCTCAGTAATTTATACATCAGTCAGAAAATAAATCAGAAATATAAAAGATTTAAATAACAGAATTAGCACAGTTTACAAAATGAACCTATTTAAGATTGCATCCCCCTACCAGAGAAAAGATGCAAAAGATAAAAATATTTATGCAAATTACCCATGTACTAAGACAAAAATTAAACCTTCACAAATTTTAAATAATACCTACCATATAAACTACATTTACAAATAAATCAAAATTACATTAGAAGCTTATTTAAAAAAATAACTTTAAAATTCAGTGGAGATATAAGGGTTAATTTGTCTAAGACTAATCTCAGGTTGATTTTCCAGAGAGAGTTTGCCTTCTACAATTTCCAAGGAAACTGGCTGAGGTTCAATTTAGAAAAACCACCCAAATAAAGGGACAGATAGATCATGCTTATGTTTAGGTATCCCCATCATAAAGATTTCATTTTTCCATCATACAATCTATAAATGAATATGATTCCAATCATAATTCCAATAAAACTTCTGAAGAAAGGAATAAGATAACACTGAAATTTATATGGAAGGACAAAGGTCAAGAATAGCCTAAAACTCATAAAGAAATGTAAGACTGAGGGATTCACCATAATAGATAATCAAAACTCAATATAGAAGCTTAGTAATGTAGACAGAGATGGCACTGAATATTAACACAAAAATACAATAAGTTATATTGCAACAATCTGTTTTCTATTTAAGAAAGAAAATGTAATTGGAACCTCAACTTCACACCATACCCATATATGAATCTCATATTAATTATGCTTCACATGTGGCAAGTGAAATATACATTCCTAAAATTCTAGTTTCTTACTTCCAAACTTGTAAATAAAAGGAGAAAATATCAGTTTAATCATATTTTAAACATAATTTCATGTAGAAGCATCATGTAAATATGAAAAGCCAAATTTCGAAACATTTAGAATAAAATACCAGAGAATATTTTTTGACTTCAAGGTAGAAAAAAAAATTCTTAAATTCAGAAAAGCACAAAGGTCAAAGGAAAAATATTTATAACTTTTACTACACTAAAACTGAAATTTCTCTTCATCAGAAGTTACCATTAAGAAATGAAAGAAGATTGGATAAAAATATTTTTAACATATGGAATTTAAAAATATTTAGTATCAAGAATATACAACAAATTCTTATAAATATGTCAAAATACAATCACTCAACAGATGGAGAAAAATCATGAGCAGCTTTTTCACAAAAAAAAGGAAATACAAATGACCTCTAAAAAGCCATTAAAACACACTTAGTCTCACTCTTAATTATGGATTAATTTTAAAAATTTAATGAGACATAAAGAGTATATAGATAGAAATATACAATATAATAGAAATATTATAATAGAAAGTGGCAATAAAAAAACATGTAGTTTTAATTCTAAGTAGGAATGCCAAATGGTACAGAATGTGTATATTATTGCTTTGTACTATAGTATTAATTTTTTTTTACCATTTTATCAATTCCTTTTACCGTTACTTCTTTTACTATAGTTAGTGAATGAGATGTGGCAGGAAAGATGAATCATAAGGGATGGTCAGAGTGATACTATGCCAGAGAGGACTCAACCCCCCCATTCCAGATTTAAAGATGAAGGGTACCACCAGCCTGGGATGCAAGCAGCCTCTGAAAGCTGAGAATGATCCCAGGCTGAGAGCCACCAGGGAAACAATGACTTCAGTTCTAAAAGCACAGAAACTGAGTCCTGCCAAAACTGAAATGAGCCTGACAGCAGATTAATCCTAGAGTCTCCAGAAAGAAATGTAGGGCTGCTGATAGCTTGATTACAGTCTTAGAAGACCCAGAACACAGGAACCAGCTAAGACATGACCCAGAGAAATCTTGAGATAATAAATGGATGTTGTTTCAAGCTGCTAAAATTCTGGTAATTTGTTATGTAGTAAGAGAAAATACCAATATAGACAGAAAATTGGCTAACTGCTATTTCATTAATGATAGTAAGTTTTAACAGCTCTGGCTTAAAAATACAATCAGTATTTTTTTAATTTTTAAATCAGAAAACCCACCGTTTTTGATAAAGCAGATAATTCCTTTGTTGATGTCTTTGTTTCCTTCAATGCTTCATGCACTGCTTCTTCATTCTCCTCAATACTAACATTAACATTTTCTATTGCTATAGCGTAGTGACTATATAGATTGTCAAGTTTCTCTCTCTCTCTCCTAAGAGGAAAACACACAGTTGGTTTTATCCACAATGAAAGGAAAATCATGTTTAAAATTATATGTAAATTAGTTTCTGACTTAACAATGTAAATCAGTGGAATTTACCTATTCCTAAAACTTCTCCCATCCCAAAGCAACTTCTTAAAAGTACCATTTAGGATCAAGAACTAAATGGTGAGAAAAAATTCACCAGGTGCATTTATGCTTCCAATGGAAAAAAGTGAGAGAAAAGTGATTTCTAAATTATTTAAAATAAATCACCTTTTGATTTGATTTCAGGTGATAGAGCTAAGCACCTTTGATAAAGAGGGTGGGCGGTACAGGGCTGGAAAGGCAAGACAAAAAGAAGAGAAAAAAAGAAGAGAGGATATAGAAGTGAAAAGACCACACATTTTAAAGCCCTAGTTTACTGTTTTGTCTTTCCCGGTCTAGAGGTAAAATGGAGGAAACTGCAGCTTAGAAAAACAACAGGTTTACTAAAAAATAAATTGCCAAGGAATATTTTGTTCTTATGTGATCTTCTACAAAGAAAGCCAGAGCTAAACTGTGATCCACATAATCCTGTATCTTCTCTGGTAGGTAGAAAACACATTCCAAATATAAAAGTCCCTTTAGACACTGGTGTTAGAGTTTAATATACGTAAAAAGTATGGTGAGAAAATGACAAAATTATCATTTCCATAAAATATCAGCAAGAAATACAGATAACTCCACCTGGACGTAACCCAGATTCTCATGCACTAACCCTGATTTTTAGGAGTAGAGTCAAAATGAAACTGAAAGATATAACCTCACTACGGAAATGAAAGTTAAAACAATAAACAAGCAAAAAAGATTCTTCTTTACCCTTCCACGTCTGGAGAGTGTAGGTCTCCCTATCAGAATTTTAGAAGCCAAGTAGATAATGAGAGGTGGGGAACCTCAGCATTCAAGATATATGTTTGGTTATATTTCCTTCTTTTGAAATTAATTTTTCTTTTCTCAATGGTATCTATTTCCCCCAGTCCAGATAATGAATTAGAGACTCTGAGTAAGAAGTGGACAACTGCACAGTGTCATCCAATTCAGAAACTAAGTATTATTTTAGTTGTCTCCTTATCCCCATTTCCTAAAGTTGATGCCATCAATTCCTCGGCCCTTTAAGGATTTTTCAGGGTAAAAGTTTGCTACTCGTGACCCCAGACACTGGTAGTTTAGATTTTATCATTCTCATATCTCTAAATCAGAATAAATTTAGAAGAATAAAATGGGAAGAATCATTCTACCTGTTAAGAGTTACAATGTAGAGCAATCAAGATGCTAAAGAGCATATGCTTTATGTATGCTTCCATTCATATGGATTTCGAGAATAGGCAAAACTAAGTCTGGTGATAGAAGTCAGAATGAAGATGACCTCTTTGGGATGGAAGGGGGCAATTGTATGGACTGGGAAAGAGAAGAAGAGAAACTTCTAGTATGCTGAAAACCTTCTATACCTTAATCTGGGGTGTATACATATTTCAAAAATCATCAATGTATACACTTGATAGCATACATAATCATGTTCTTGTATGTGTATTAATTCCCAACAAATTAAAAAATAGTGAAGAACAATAAACATATCTCTAAAATTTTATTTAATAAATCATTTATGACTCCTTTCATGCTTACAGTAGAACTTTTAGAAAACATACTTAGATGAGAAGAAAATCATCCAAGAAGGATTTATATGATGTAATAAAAAATGGTAAGTACAGGAGTTAATACAAATGTACCTTCATGTTTAATATTAGTTTTAAAAACCACTAGCTAATTTCTATACTCAAAATTCAGAAGGAAAAGTTTTAGAAAATGTTACAAAATGGAAAATGTTCTATTTGTAATTAATATAAGCTGAAATCTGTCTTATGCCAGATAGAAGAATAAAATGCTGATATATGCACAAATGTATATATATGGAGACAGATAAATGATTAAAATAGAAATAGAAACATAACTGATAGCTTCAAGATATACAAAGCAAGAAAAAGAGTGGAAAATTGGAGTATTATGGTTTCAATTCCTCACCCAGTCCTATATCCACTTCCTTTGCCATGTAACTTTGTGGGGTTCTCCAACTCTAACTTTGAGCTTAGCCATTTGATTTGCCATTGTCATTTGGATTTTAGCAAATGGGATGCCAGCAGTTCATGTGTGATTGCGCTTGCTTGCTCTACTCCTCTCCTATTACCATGCAAACATTGCTAACCAACTGGAGAAATAGGGTATCGCCAAATCTCCCCAGTTGTCTTAGCTAAGACTTTCCTACATCAGCAGAAAGCTAGCCAAACCCCACAAAAATAAACAAACAATTAAGAAGATAATGATCAGATTTACATAGAAGCACAGAAATCAGTTATAGGTGACCTGGAAGAATCAATCTAAAATAAAACCACAGAAACATTTTTAACTAAATAAATAAAATGAGATCTGCCAGTGAAATTCTAATCAGGATGAATCTTTTAGAATATCAAGATCAAGCAAAAATATACTTTAAAAAGATGAAATATTAAAGGGATTAAATAATGCATGTATGGGGCGCCTGGGAGGTTCAGTTGGTTAAGCGTTTGCCTTTGGCTCAGGTCATGTTCCCAGGGTGCTGGGATGGAGCCCCACATTGGGCTCTCTGCTCTATGGATATATGAACTATATGGATAATATGCCAGAAGAAAATCTTCAGGAGGTTTGAAAATGTAGAAAATATGAGAAAATGATCAAGAGGCATGGAAGATACAATAAGAAAAACTGATACGTGTTTGAGTCCTGGAATAAATAGAAAATGGGACCAAGGCATTGTTTGAAATGATTATGACTGAAAATGCCCAGGGATAATGATAATTATAATGCATAGACTCAATAATACTAAAAGACTAACAAATCCCAACAGAATAAATAAAAATTGATTCACACCCAAAGTATCTTAATAAAATAAACAGACTTTCAAAATCAAGAGATGATCTTAAAAGCAAAGTATAGAATAGTTGCATAGCAATCAGTCAAAAGGCCAATATATTTCTTAACAGCAAAAGATGAAAATTAGATTATAGAATGATATATTTAACATATTAAAGGTCAATTAAAAATCTAAAAAGATATCTATGAAAATAGAAAATATCCTTCAGGGGATGCCTGGGTGGTAAAGTTGGTTAAGCTTCTGCCTTCAGCTCAGGTCATGATCCCAGAGCCCTGGGATCGAGCCCCCGTTGTGCTCCCTTCTCAGAGTGCTTCTCCCTCTCCCTCTGCTCCTCCCTGCCTGGCTCATACTCTCCCTCTCTCTCAGATAAATAAAATCTCTAAAAATACATAAATAAATAAAACAATTAACAACAATATTCTCATGGGTTATAAAAATGAAATGGTCCATAACAACAATAAATATTTGATTCAGTGGCAATATGATAACTACAGTAAAAAATTTTCATAAGTCCTTTTCTTGTCTAGCATGTTAACAGTGTCTTTGGAGTCTGATCATCTAAATTTGCATGTGGTAGTTAATAGGATTTCCTACAAAAAGAATAAGAACAAAATTATAACTGCCACTAGAAAAGGAAAAAGAAAACTAATGTGAAAGAAAGCAAAAAAAAAAGAATAAGAAAATAAAACATATGGGGGCAAATACATGGTGGTTTAAATCCAAATGTATTAGTGATTTGTGAATACATTTAATGGTCTACCTTTAAAAATGTTTTCAACTGATTAAAAAAAATCTATCTTGGGGCACCTGGGTAGCTCAGTAGTTAATCTGCCTTCGGCTCAGGTCATGATCCCAGGGTCCTGGGATCGAGCCCCACATCAGGCTCCCTGATCCGTGGGAAGTCTGCTTTTCCCTCTCCCACTCCCCCTGCTTGTGTTCCTCCACTCGCTCTCTCTGTCAAATAAATAAATAAAATCTTAAAAAAAAAATCTATCTACATAATGTTTACAAGAGATGTGTATAAAGGGCTCAAAAATATTGAAATTTCAAAACTGAAAATATCTCCAAGACAAACATCAAAAAACAAAGCTAATGAAGCTATATTACTATGTTAATTGAGTTTAAGGAAAAAAGTATTCCAAGAATCAATTCACAATGATGAAAAAGGTTAATCATCTCCCAGAAAGATATAACAACTTTAAACTTGTAAGAACCTGAGAGAACTTCAAAATATAAAGCAAAAACCGATGGCATGAAAAAAAATAAAAAGATGTAGAGAGACATATCAATTATAGTAGGTGATTTTACCACACTTTTCTCAAATAATAGAAAAAGTATTAAAAATCAGTAATGATAAGGAACAGGGTTTCTCAAGCATCACCTTGGGATCTTTTAAAAATGCAGATTCTCATTCAATAGGTCTAATTGTGCCTGAGTTCTGCATTTTGAAGAAGCACCCAGGTAAAGCTTATGGTCCACAGACCACACTTGAAATAACAAGGATATACAAAGATTAACCTTTATGATTAGTAAAATTGACCTAATGAAACAGGAATCAACAGTACATTCAATAAGTACATAAAGAATATTTATCAAAAAAATAAAAAACAACCCGTCACTGAGCCAAAAATGAAGACTCAATAATTTTCAGTGGGTTGAAACTATATGTTCCCTGACCAAAACACAAATTCAGCTAGAAAGTAGAAATAAAAAGACAACTATAAAATTAGAAATCCATCATGAAAATTTTTTTAAATGTATTTTTTAATAACCCATGGATCAAAGAAGATATCAAAATGAAAATTAGAAAATACATGTAACTTAATGACATATAACAAATCACGTGAGCTACAAAAGTGATTGATTTATTAAATAATAAACAATATTTAAAATATTCATTGTATGTGAGGAAATACAAACATAATGGATATTATCTAGATCAAAGAAACATGTATGAATTTTGTGTTCTTCATTTTGTTTATATTTACTTGATTCTAGCTCCACAATATGATTTTTTCTATCTAAATCATTAATTTGAACAAATAAAGACTTTATTATGATACAC